ATGTACAGTCACCCCTGCACACATTGAATGCCATGTAGGATGCAGTACCTACCACCTGCAGCTGCACAGAGACACCCCGAGGTTCAATGGCACTATAAAAACCATCACCAACTGGAAGCTGAGATTCTTCTTAATATGGACTTATACATAACTGCTGAAGGGCTGAGGAGTCTGAAACTCCAAATCTCTCCTGTGCTCCCCAGCACATAAACCCACAACTCAAAGGTGACCATCTGTCATTTCAAACCTCTCCTTCCTGCAAGATTCAGAGTCCCTGGAGCCCTGTTTGTCCCCAGGAGTGCTGGGAAACACCTGGCTCATGGCACTGATGGAGCAACACCCAAGCCACCAACGCCCCCCCAGTCTGCTCTACACAAAACCATGGCACTGCTGAATGTTTTTCTGAATACCCAGAGCATGGTGAGGTTGGAAATACCACTCATTTCTAGTTCCTGCCTTCCTAATGTGTGCTTTACACTGCTCCTCATGCCAGTCCCTGGGGAGGGAGCCCAGAGCAGGGCCGCTCATGCGAGAGGGATGCAAACGGGCTCAGGGCTGACCTGCAGATCACACTCAGCTCTGCCTGCTCTGCCAGCTCCCACAGCCACATCAGGTGCTGAAAAGGCTGCAGTGCTGCAGCCAGGAGTGCAGGGACCCTGCCTGGGCACTCCTCACACAGACAGATGGGGCTGGATCACAGCACTGCCATAGTCTGAAGCTCAATCCCTGCTTCCCCCTCAAATGAGCAAGCCAGTTTTGAATTATTTGAACAACAGCACACAGGGTTTTTCAGAACTTGCACAAAACATTTATAAATTGCTAAATATATTAAAATAAAATTAAAAAAAACTCCATAAAGACTTCACAGCACTGCTAAGTAGAGCAATAGAATAGGTTTATCAAGATATAGAGCAGCCCTCCCCAAAATATATGGCTCCAACATACCCTGCCAGCATAAATACTCCATGTTTAAGATGAGGGAAGAGAGATTCAGTTAGGATTTGTTTTCCTGGCAGCCCTCCATACGTGTACATAAACCTCTTGCAGCACCACACTGATATTTAAACTAATTAGCACCAGAAAAACCTCAGGACTGTGCTTTTCTCCCAGCCTGTTCCCAGGGACTCAGGGGCTCCAAAACCTGGCTGTGATCACATCCCATTCACATCCCAGGATGCTGCAGCCCAGGAGCCCCTGCACAACCCCCTTCCTGCCCAAGTACACAGGAACACAGGGCAGGACACTTGGCAAAAGGAAAAAAATCCCCCTCTGCCCAAACTGCCCACTCAGCACTATGTGAGAGGATAAAAATAGCAGGCAGGAGAGCTGGCCCTGAATACCAAGCAGCATTCTCACCCAAATCAACTTCCCCTTCACTCTGCTCTCCTGCAGGCTGCACGTTGCCTGAATTTCCTATTCCTCATAAACACAGCCAGTGGGGATTTAGCTCTGGGGAGCTGCAGACTGGCACATCCACCATCATCGCTCTGGCAACCCCCCACCAGGCTCTGGAAAGAGCTCCTGACTTCCAGAGGAGAAAGGACAGGCTGGGGGGTGGGTTCTGTGAATATTCAACACCTCTGCACAGCAGGCCTGCCTATTATTAGTATAGGGGATGTCAAAGAAGCTCCTCTCATGCAAAGTTTCCAGTCTGGCTAATTAACAGTGGCATCCTCCAGCATATAAATTTGGGCTTTAGTGCCTTGTACACAGGGCAGGAAGGGAGGGAAGGAGCAGAGGACAGGAATGGCTGCAGTCATCTTTAAAGGTTGGAAATGAAAACTCTCAGGTAAGATAAAGAGAATTAACACACATTGAGAGGAGGCTTCAGGAAGGAAGGACTGAATCTCCCTTCTTTTAAAATAAGATTGGACGTGGCACTCAGTGCCATGGTTTTTAGTTGAGGTGGTGTTAGGGCATGGGTTGGACTCAATGATCTTAAAAGTCTCTTCCAATCTAGGGGTTCTGTGATTCCTCCTGGAGCACATCCCCAGAGCATCTCTCTGGAAAAAGCTGAGATGATTTTGACTGGGCAGCTCACAAGAAGCTAAAGTTTCCTCACGAGGGGCAGCAGAGGCCAGTGATTTGGGTCAGGATGGGACTGTCACCCTCTGCTTCTGACATCCAGACCACCAAACACCTCCCAGCACCGCTGTGGGGCTGCAGAAGGGAACTCACTGCTCCCCTTGCTCCAAGGATCAGGCACATCCCAGCTGGCAGGACCTGCCTGAGGGGAAATCAGAGGCAGGAGAGATGCTGAGGGTCCTGTCAGGGCAGCCTTTCAGGGCACTCTGTGATCTCTGCACAGCAAAGCAGCTCAGGGCACCTTGAGGCCTCCTGCAAGTTGGTTCTGATTGTGCCAAACTGCTCCCATAAAAGCAAAGGCTTTAAGTGACCTCAGTGCTAAACCAAAATGATCTGCACATAAACTGCTTTAACACAGAGTTTTCTCCAGGCTGAAGAGTGTACACTGGAAAAAAAATTAAAGATTGAAAATTTTTAGAAGTCTGAAAATTTTTAGAAGTCTGACCTTATTCATTTTTACTTGCTTCTTAAATTAGGAGAGAAATTAAAAAAATATTGTATGGCTCCACATGCACTTCAGTGCTTCAGTTTCTTATTCACACCTCCAAAGTGGAACAATAACCTTATCTACTCCATAAAAACCTTCTCCAGCTTGAGCCCAGATTTCAGGCACTCTTTCTTGGAAGGACAAATCCCTGCTTTCTGCACTGCTCTGCCACCTCACTGGTGACAGCTGTCAATGAAAGCACCTGACCAGAGACACCCAGGCCCACAAATCTCACCCCAAATGTACACATCTTGCCAGAGCAGAAACTTTCTGGCCAAGAGGTGATGTGCAGCCCTGTAGATCTTCACTGAGCTTGGGGCAGAGGTGACAGCTGAATTTTCCAGCACTGCTGTTGTGAGCCACATTTCTGTATCCTGCTCCTGCAGCACTTGCACAGCACCTCTGATTTATAAACCAAAGGTTTCAGAGCTGCCTGCTTACCATGATTTAAAAACAAGCTGAACAGACCTCCCCAAACCAAATTTTCTGCCTCAGGGTGGCCACAGGTCTTTGGCATGGCCATGTCTGAGCCAAAGAGCACCCACAGATTTCTGAGCAGCTCGCTTCCCTTTCCAGCTCCACATCCTTCCCAGCTATCAGCACAGGAGAAGCAGTTTCTTAGCTAACCTTTCCCAAACTTCAGCAGGGTGCTTGGTTTGCTGAGGTTTCAGTTTTCCACAGCTTCTCTAAGGGGCTCTGATGCAATCTGGGCTCTGTTTGCAATCTGAAACAGGCCTGGCTTTATCAGGATGCTCATGGCACAGATAATTCAGGAGCAATTTTGTGTCAAAACAGCACCTTGGCTTCCAGGAGGGCCACAAAGACAGCTATGAAAGGCTCCTCTTAAAGGATTAATAAAATTATTAACTAAGGTGTAATAAAGTGACTAATTAGGGCCCAAATACATCCCTGCACTGGTCAGTACCAGACCCTGAACATGGACACAGCTCATGGATAACACACCTGAGACATTCCAAGGCAGGGCTTGCACACTGCACAACAGGGTATTTCACTGCTCTGCAGTCACCTGCCTTTATCCTGGCCCCAAGGACAAACAGCTTTATTGGCTATGGATCATTTCATCTTCCAGGAAAACTTTGTTCAAAGCTTTAGATGTTCAGCTTGTCTGAAGCCAGAACAGCTCTCCTGAGTTGAAAGGAGCAGTTCATGTCTCAGCAGCGAGGTAGGACCCAAAGGGAAGGAAGAGAAAAAGAAGAGCTGAACTCCTTATCTATCTCTCCTTTGTACCTCAGCCCACAAAAACTCAGCAAAGAAAACAGAAGTGATACAAGACGGAATTCCAGAATGTCACAAGTGACCAAAAATGCAGCAGTCCATCCCTGCACGTGTTCCCTGGAAAGCAACACCCAACACAAGGAGGGTGGAGAAGTCAGCATCACTCACTGCCAACTTACTGTGATGGAAAAGCACACACAGAGGCCAGGGACCTCCTGGAAATCACATTTCAGGAAGGCAGCTCATCAAATATCAAAGGGGAAGGGAATACAATAAAGGTCTGGTAAGAAAGGACAGCAGTGGGGTGGGAAAGAGCCACAGAGACACAAGAGGAAGGTCAGTTCCCCTCTCCACTCCAGCAGGGAAATTCCTGCCTCCCAGACCATCCTTTGTTCCTGTGCCCTAGAGGAACAACAAGGGCTGAACCTCTTCTGCCATACCATCACAGTGCAGGCTGGGAAATCTGTCGGCTTTGGGACAACCCGGATCTGTTGGGTACAGTGAAACCAGACCCATGAGCACTAGAAATCTAAAACGAGACCATGAAATAACCAAGGCTTCCAGACTTGAAACACAGAGCACAGCAAAAAAACCAACCCCTCACCCAAGTAAGGAAACAGATCAGACAAATTATAACATTTTTGCCATCTTTTCTGAATTTTTCCCAGGCCCCCAACTGTTTTTTATTTCCCTCACTAGAAGCATCATTCACAAAAAAAGAACCAAGTGGATTGTGCCTATATTTGCAAAACACTTTGGGAAAGAAGCATCGACATGAATTTGCCACCGAGATGGTGCTGGGAGCAGCACCAAACCCAAAGGACACAGGGCTAAAAAAGGAAGGAGAAAAAATAAACCCATCAAAAGCACGGAGCAGATCTGAAGGCGATGTGAAACGTCACAGTTCCCTCCACCTGCAAGGAGCACTGAGCCACAGGCACAGGAGGCCCAGGGACAGTCCAACAGCCTCTGCTGTACACTGAAGGGATACTGATTTGGGGAAAAGACAGTGCACCTGAGCTTTTATTGCAACAAAATAATACCAAACCAAAAAAAATCCCCATCTGTGGCTGAAGAACCCAGGGATTGAGGAAGCTGCTAGTCAAGCATATTGTTATAAACACAAAGCCCAATGCAGGCAAATCCCAGCCCTGAAGCAGGCAGAGGCACACAGTTGCACACAGCTCCTTACCCGACCGATCTGCAGCTTCTCAGCTCCAGGCTTGAAGAGGTTCCATCGACGGCCACCGTTCCTGCAGTTCCCGCGCACCTTCAGGGTCTTTGAAGCCTGCTCGTTCTCAGCTGCCAGGAGAAAATCCACGGGAACAAAAAAATAAAAAGGAATGACAAAAGATAAATGCTGTGCTTTAGCTCAGGCTGGGGGCGGAGGCTGTTCTTTTAAATGAAAGAAACAAAATTGTTTGCAAGAGACTCATTCAACCTCTCCTTCAGAAAAAGAGAGCACAGAGTATATTTAGGTGCTTTATTCAGTGCTCTTGGGATACATGAGAAATAGTGCAGCTTGGATACTACAAAAAGGCAGAGCTGGGAGCCACATCCTGAGGTGGGGTCAGCCCAACTGGGTGTGAGGATGCTCTGCCAGGAGCAGGAGCCCCTCATCCACCTGCACCAGTGTGCACAGGGCAGCAGCGCCCTGGGTCCCAACTGCTCCAGCAGCAGCACCTGCAGCAATCCCAGCTGCAACGCTCACCATGGCCCACAGGATGCCAGGCCTTGCAAAAGAAACAACCCCTCCAATCTACACACAAAACAGAAATGGGTAAGGCCATAAAAGCTGGGTTTTTTTTTTAAGGAAACTGGGCCGGTTCTCACCCCCAGCATTTCAGACCAAGCCCTCATGGATGCAGTTCTGCTCTTGCTTTACCACTCACACCAGACCCCAACCTGGCATACAGATGGCACTACCCAGGCACAAAGCAGCTTGTGAAAAAGAGGCAAATGAGTTCTACTTTTCCAATCAACCAAAATTTTCAGCTCCACATCCTATTTCTCTCTTTTTGGGGTGAAGCTGCCATTATGTATGAGACCATACATAATGCTTTCCCTCCCACATTTGGCAAGCTTGGATTTTAATCCCTTCTTCCATCAGGCTCTTCCCCTCCCCTGGGCTGGAGGAAATGAAACAGAGCTGAGCACCACTGGTGCCCCCAGAGCAGCTGCAAGCACAGGTACATGTAATCCAGGCAGTGCACATATGTGGTATGTGTATCCCCACAGGTGATCCCAGCACCTGGAGGCTCCTCATTCCAGTCATGGAGCAAAGACCTACAGAAAACAGCCACGTTCTGGAGTTCTTCCCTAAAAAATGCACAACTCTCAATTTCTATCTCCTGACATACCTCTCAGCAGGCAGAGGTTTCAGACTGTGTCAGTCCTGAGAGGTTTGGGACCAGAATATGTGGTTCCAGGCTTTGGGAGAGTGGAGACCCCCAAGCCAAGCAGGGCTGGGATGCTGCTGCAGGCTGGCTGGGCAGCCATCCTGGTTTTCTTCCAGTGTTGTTGGGAGAGAGATTGCACTGAGACCTATTTCCTCAATGCTGATGCAGGCAGCCTGCTGCTATTTTTAGCAGCCCACGTTTCACTTTGGAGACTCTTGGAGAGCCAGGCTGCAGCACGGTGCTGGTTCCAGCAGGAGGAGGCGATGGATGGAGCAGCGCTGGGAGCGGCGTGCAAACAGAGAATGCTCACTCTGAGGGGCTGTGTGACCCCCCCTGTGCTGGGAACCACTGCACCCCCACAGCAGAGCCATCAATTAACAGCACAGGCAGCTAATTGGCCTTGTCCTCCCCAGCTCTTCTGAACCCTGATGTGCTGCCACCATCCATCAGCCACCCGGATCCCTGGAGCGCTCCCGAGCGATGCCAGCACAACCTGGCAGCGCTTCCGTGCTCGCCCATCACTAAATCACAGGATCCTTCATGCCAGCAGTGGCCCTTCAGGAAATCATTTCCTTTCTCTCATTATCAATCTTTTTAATTAGGAGGTACAGAAAATGATATCATCTATTCAGCCATCAGCCAGCACGAGACCCTGCCAGCAAATACATTCCACGGTGCTCTCTCTGGTGTCACTGTGAGCAGAACAAATGCAGAGAGGTCACCCCAGTCTTTGGCTCATGAGACTCCCTCCTTCATCATGAAAAGTACCCAAGCACAAGAGGAAAAAAAACCCTCACTTCTTGTGTTTCCAAACATCAGACTTGAGTTGTGATCTCAGTATCCATCATCACTCACCACCTCCAAATGGTGAGTACTCGGTGAGTACTCACCACACAGGATTCTTAGAGAACAAGAATTCAAGACAAAACCACCAAATACAAACTCACACAGCAGCTGCTGAACAACTTTTACACATCAAGTGCCAACCCCTGTTCATCCTCTCATACCCAGATTATGGGGACTGTGTGCAGAGACATTAGAGAGAGAAAACAGCCTTATTTCATAAACACATTGTACACAAGAAGATCCTATTAGCCAGCAAGAAACTCCTCAGCATGTGGCTCTAGGAGCTCCCTCACCTGGTGTCAGGGATGTAACCAGCATGGATGCAAAACACATTCCTGACTTTTCCACCCTGCTGCCCTTGGCTAGCTCTGCAGCATGGGTGACACGCAGAAAAGCAAAGCTGGGAGAGAAGAGGCACTCACAACAGCTCTGCAGCATGGGTGACACCCAGAAAAGCAAAGCTGGGAGAGAAGAGGCACTCACCACAGCTCTGCAGCATGGGTGACACCTAAATAGCAAAGCTGGGAGAGAAGAGGCACTCACCATTGTGGCAAGCACATTCTCTCACTCTCAGGATTTTTCATAGAGGTGCACAGAGAGAAATGAAAGAGAAAACAATTTCTATTTCTGCTCCTTGTTTTTCCTATGTGGAATGTGTTCAGAGAATTGTTTACCTGGAGTGCTTGATTGGATCTGGTGAGGATTGTTTGAGCCTGATGGCCAATCCAATCCACCTGGGGCTGGATTCTCGCAAGAGGGTCACAAGTTGTGTTAGAGTCAGAGAAAGTAGTATGTAGTTTTACTATCTTCCTTTTTATATAGTATATTCATGTATTTTAGCATAGTTATAATAAAGAAATCATTCAGCCTTCTGAATTGAGTCAGACATCATCATTTCTTCCCATTGGGTTCACCTACATTTACAACGCACCATGGTTCTGCAGCATGAGTGACACCCAGAAAAGCAAAGAGAGAAGAGGCACTCACCATAGCTCTGCAGCATGGTGACACCCAAATAGCCAAGAGAGAAGAGGCACTCACCATGGCTCTGCAGCATGGGTGACACCCAGAAAAGCAAAGAGAGAAGAGAGGCACTCACCATGGCTCTGCAGCATGGGTGACACCCAGAAAAGCAAAGAGAGAAGAGAGGCACTCGCCATGGCTCTGCAGCATGGGTGACACCCAAATAGCCAAGAGAGAAGAGGCACTCGCCATGGCTCTGCAGCATGGTGACACCCAAATAGCCAAGAGAGAAGAGAGGCACTCGCCATGGCTCTGCAGCATGGTGACACCCAAATAGCCAAGAGAGAAGAGGCACTCGCCATGGCTCTGCAGCATGGTGACACCCAAATAGCCAAGAGAGAAGAGGCACTCACCACGTCTGCGGAGCAGGTGCTGCATGCGCCCCCCCAGCTGGTCCAGCCCCATGGGGGTGCTCTGCGAGAGGGGCTCGGAGCGGCAGCGCTCCACCAGCGCCTTGAAGGGCTCTGCCTGCGGGCACGGCTGCGGAGGGCGAGACGTTGGCTGCCAAGAGAAGGGGCACAGAAGAGTTTTACCAACAGCACTCAAATCTCAGCAATACCACACAGAATTGTGGCAGCACAGCTCGCTGCAATCGGCACCCCGCGCGTTTCTGACTGCGAGGCCAGGACCTGCTGGCCCTGGTGTGCAGCCCCCAGTGCCCCCATTGCAGGGGGCTCAGACCTTGTACAGCTTTGAGCCCAACGCTTCCAGTGGCACTGAGTGTCCCAGGAACTTCTGGGAGTGACCCTGACAGAGACCTGCTTGCTGCTTTGCATTTTGGGGGTGTCCTGGCTTGTAAGATAAGCATGTGTTCTATTGCCATCTGTTGGAGGTTGGGCAGTTTTCTTAACTCTTCCATGAACAATGTCTCCCTCGGGGAGATATCTTCTGTTAATGGGCCATTAATGACTCCCTGCATGACCGGTAGAGTTCCATCAGCCCATGGTGAGATGCTCCACCCAGAGGGAGGAGCCAAGCAGCCCTACCTGGATAAAAAAATCAGCATTTTTTGGGACACTGGCAGCCACTTCACTGGATTCCCAGAGAAGCAGCTTCTTCTCTGCTGGATCCCCAGAGGAAGACCAGGTCCATCTACTCCATCACCAGACCTTCAGAAAAAACTCCACCCTTCTCCAGATTCCTGCTCCAGCAGCATTCCATCTGCCACTCCAGGAGGAGCACCCACCATTTAACTGGACTATTCCCAACACCCTGACTCCTCAGGGTGTCAGGTTTCTGACTCTATCACTAGTTTTGTTTGTACCAGTTACATTTTTTTTAATTTAGTTTTTTTTCCAAGTAAAGAACTGTTGCTCCCGTTCCCATATCTTTGCCTGAGTGCCTCTTAATTTTGAAATTGTGATAATTTGGAGGGAGGGTGTTTACCTTTTCCATTTCACAGGACACTCTTGCCTTCCTTCACAGATTCCAGTCTTTTCAAACCAAGACAGGGGGTGAGGCTACTCTCCCATTCCCAGACCCAGAATTAGCTGGTGCTGAAGAGCCCATACCAGCAAGGGCTGGCTGCTTCCAAGGAACAGCAAAGAGCAGCCCAACGGGTTGGCAGCTCACTGATGACAACAGCAGCTAACCATGTCCTTGCATCTATAGACTACAAAATACCTACTTGAATAAAACAGTTGCAATTGATTGAAGCACCCACAAAATGGTCAAATACCTCAGTTATACCTTAATTCTTGGTAACACTAATCCAAAGAATTGGCATTTGCAGCTAAGTGGAGAAAAATGTTGGTGTTTTCCTCACTCCAACTTTTATTACAATATTCCAGGAGTAAAAGTTCCTGAAAAATGACAATTGTAGAGTGACATTTTGCAGAATGGAATGTTCTTTTTAAAAGCATCACAATTCAAACTCCTACTTTTCATTTTATTCTCAGTGACATGTGACACCATGGAAGTCTTGAGCATAATCTTAGAGTCAAGAAATCAGAAGAAGAATCATTTGACAAAGGTCAAAGGAAGCAAGCAGGAGGTGTTCCTCTCTAAGAGGTTTCTAGGCTCAATCAGAGACACATCTCTCACACTTCCAGGAGCCTGCTAATAACTGGGTGCCTGGGATGGTTTGGTGGATCCATCCTCAGGACTCCAGCAGCTCATTTCCACTGATGGGCTGTTATTTTCATTTACAGATGCTGAACAAAGCAGACAGGCTGTAATTACCACAAAAGAAAGCTGTGGATGAATTAAGGCTCTATCTCCCAGCACCAGCATCATATCCAGTGAGCCAGCACATTTCTCTTGGCTGGAAAACAGCTAGGAGGAGGTAAAAGCCAAAGAAAACCTGCCATCCAGGGAATTTGCAACAGAGAGTCCCTTCAGCATAAGGCCAGCAGTGCCCAGATGCACCTCTTCCCATCCCCTGTTTAAAATTTTGAAGCTGGGAATTGGGATAAAGGAAAGCCATACCACGAGTTTAAAAAAACATGGAATTCTGAAATATCCATGTGTTCCATGGCTGGTTCTATATACATGCAAAGCCTATCAGCTTTGCAAACTCAACCTGCCTTTCCCCGATGATGTTAAAAATACATTTCCCAAAAAGCCTTAGCCCACTATAGATAGCACTAAATATAGGCTTTAATTCAAGATTTTGCAAGCACCTCCTGGTTATTATGAATACAAGAATCTGAACAGCTTGCAGATAGACTTTAGAGGTTTTGTCTCCTCTAAAAATAAAATGATTGTCAGACACAACCATATTAAAAGCCAAAAATATCCAAAATCTTCATTCTGCAAGTAAATGGCACCGCGCTGCAGAAAGGAATACAGCATTCTTTTGGCAACAGTAGGATTTAGAAAGTGAAGTACTATTTCTTAATTTGGAAGGGCTATAAAGTCTTTTGTTACAGCAGGCTGAGACACAACCCAAGAGCTGAATAACCAGAAGATGAAGAAAGCTCTGAAGATCAACTCTCCCAGATACTATTTCCTGGTCAGTGTCATTGAGCACTGGGAGAGAAGGGATAAATCCACTCAGCAATCCCATCTCTGCAGCTGCTCCCACAATAAACCAATCTCAAGCTAAAAGTCACTACAGGCATCACCTGCAATTTCTCCACAGACACAGATAAAAAAGGGAACTTTGCTCGATCTTCCTCTTGTGCAAAGGCACTTGGAGCGGCACTAAAGCCAAATCCCAAAGCTGTGGGAGGATCTGAGCTCTGCCCCAGCTATCAGGCAGCAGATCTGCAAACCCATCCCCTGGCATGCGCACACCCAGGCAAATCAGCAATCCTGCGCTTCCAGTCGGACCCACCGCAGGGAGAGGCTCCTGCCTTCCCACACGGAGCACCTATGGCACAGGAACCCCAAAAACCCTGAGAGCACCCCGTCCATGTGGGCCACTCCGAACAGCAGCATGCTCTGCCACTTTGTGCCACTGGGACAGTTTGGATCTGAGTCCAGGACTCGGAGGAACAACCTCAACGCCTGCTCCGGGTAAAAACATCTGGAGTGATGCTGGAGTTGGAGCACACGGCCTCTTACAGAGCCCTGAAACTAAACACAGCATCCCATCAACCTGGCACCTCATCCTGTGGGACACACAGCTTTTGCCAAGGCTGACAAGCCTGTAAAAATCTCATTTGCACACTTCTGGCAATCCTAATTCCCCCAGAGAACGGCCTCACAAACCCAACTGGGGTCTATGGGCAGAACAGCCAGAAGCAAGCTGCAGCCTGCAAACCCTTTGGAGATAAAATTCTGAACCCCGAGGAATAGATAAGGCTTTCTGGTCCATCAAAACAACCTCTTATTTCCCAAGCAAGCCAGCAGAGGGCACAGGAAGACTGCGGTGAAAGCACTCTGCTCTGCCACTGCGAGGGTGACACGAGCCCAGAGGCTCCGCGATGCTCCTGGTCACGGCCCTGGGACAAGCAGGGACCTCACCCCATGGCAGATCTCTCTGCCAGAAATAAACCTGGCACTTGTTTCTGGGTCCTAAAAACTCCAAACTGATACCTGAAATGTGAATTCAGATGCCTGTTTTGCAACGTTTCCTGATGTCACTCCAAAGGAGGGATCAAATCATCCATAAACCCTGTCCGTGGACACACCAGCCAGTTTGAAACCCGGATGGAAGGCTGGAATTGCAAAATACATAGTATCAAGCTGTTTTCCATCTAAACACTATCTCAAGCTACTGGAAAGGCTCAAGGATAACTCCTGGGGCTACGCCTGACTTCCTGCAGCAGCAGTTTCCCTGTTGGGATGCAGTGGTGTTTTTAGAGGTTGGAGGAGATAATTCATTACAGTGGAGTCATGAAATACGGAAACTCTGTCCAAAAACTAGTGAAACCTTCATGTCATCTTTTACTCCACTTCTCATGTCTCAGAATAAGGATGGCACTGTGGTTCCAGAGCTGAGCAGTGTGAATGGAGCAATGCATTTCCCAGTGACTGTTTTGACCTTTACCGTTCTTCCAATTCTTCAGAACATTTTATCCCCACTGTTTCACAAGTTCCCAGAACACATGAGAATTTGGGATGGGGTCTGAAAGCGACTATCAGGGATGTGCTTTTCTACTTTTCTGCATCTGCTTTTATTAAATCCTGCTTCAATGCCATTTCCTTTAAAGCACCAGGATCAAATCCTAACAAACTATTTGCCCATACCATCACTCAGCTCCTGCACAAAACATTATTAGAATTTTAAAAGACAAGACCAGGAAAGCAAAAAACCAGGGGCATTAACTGCAGATACAACTAAACAGATTTACTTACTGTGTACAATGTACAGATGATCTCCTAAATCCCACTCCACCACCCCTTGTGCTACACCAGCCTCAGTTTCTCACACCATCTCCCCACAGGCACTTTTATGCATTTCTTGGGACAATGTTTAAGTTGTTTGGGAAATGTTTTCTGCCCTACTCTGCTCACACACTGTAAAACTGTTGGGAACTTGCTCAGAGCAGCTGGCCTGGCCAAGCCACCTCATCCTGGCATCACCTTCTCCTGCCTGTGGTTGAGCACTTCCCTTGAAATACAAATCATACAGTTAATCAGAGCAGCCTGGAGTGGAGGCAGCAGGGCCAGCAACTGTCCTGAGAAACAGGTGCCAGCAAAGACATGGACTGAGCCCTAAAACAATAAGAGGCTGGAGTTTGCTGCTACTGTCACGCTCAGGCTGAAGTTACTCCTCTTCCATGTTTATTTTTAGTAAAGTGTTTCCGAGTGCCGCTCCCTGATGGGAGATAGGCGAGCAAATCCCTGGGGTATCTCAGGTCATTTGTTACTGGAGCTGCTGGCAGACTCTCCAGGGCAGAGAGCACCCCCACCTCTCACTCATCACCCACCAGGGCTGTTCCTGTCCAGGAGATCCCTCCTTCAGCCTGCCCTTGCTCTGGGTTTGGTGCCACCACCAGATCTCTGTGCACTGCCAGACCTGCAGCAGCAGTTCCTGGGGTGCAGGAGGTGTCCAGAGCCCAGGTGGGCTGTGTGCTTTACCAGGCCCCTGCTCAGCTCCTGCCCAGGAGGAGCCAGCCAGCCCTCCCAGCCAGAGGAAGCCACGGCAGCCCGGAGGTCGTGTGCTATCACCACGCTCCACGGGAACTCGGGGGAGGTTTCCTGTCCGGTTATCTCAAGCACCATATTTAAGTTTCTTGGTCATGTTAGTAAGCTGCAACAGCTGAGCTGGGACTTAGGGCATCTCCTGTTAACACAGCTGAGCTGGGAGAGCACTGGGATTGTGCCCTGAGAGCACTGGGATCAGACAGGCAGCCCCTGCCCCCCCAGCAGGGATGTGGCTACTCTGGGATGTCCCTGGCTGGTATTTCCCTCTGCTCCACTCCACATCCTTTCGTGTCTCTCTCATCTTGCTCCTGCCCAGAATATTTTCAGCTCAGTCCATGTGAAGGGATATGAAACCACAGCCCTCTCAAGCTCCTCCTAAAAATGTTTCTTCCAGAAACCCCAAGAAGTGACCAACCACTGCTCACTGCCCTGGAGCGCCTGCGATTACACAGAGAGCTTCTGTAACTCTTTGTATTACACAGAAATGGAGCAGAAAAACAAAACCAGGAATATCTAACAATACTACTGCCTTTTTTAGCTGCGAGTCAGAAGTTCAGATTTTTTCCTCCAGCATTTCTAATCTGCTGCCAATTTTCAAACACTTCCCCTCTTGCCTCAGAAGTTACTGCAACCCCTTTTCCAACAGGCAATAGTGTCACCACCTCCGGAGTATCTCTTTTCTCTCCAAACCCAAAAGGAAAATACAAATTTTCTTCACAAATCAACGTAATTTTTCTACCTGGCACCTTGAAAAAAAGTAAAAAAACCTCATTCCATCCTCAGCTAACCAGCAGATACCCAAAAGAACCCTAAAGTTGGGCTTCACACTGGCTCCACAGGACTTCTGAGGTTTTGTAGCAATAAGCTGGACAAGACAGATTTCTGACACCCAGAACCTAGCCAAAAATGCAATGTCCACTTACATGTTTTGAGGATTTTAAGGGCTTTGAAGGACTTGCTTGTACCGGACAGGAACATCCTGCCATGACTACTGGAGCCACTAGCATTGCCCACGTCTCATTCATCACCCAACCCCATCACTCCAACTCTTTAAGGTAAGAAAACACAGAGGTCAACATGCAATTGATGAATTCTGTTTGTCCACAGCACACTTAACTCTCAGTTTGCTAAAATCCCTCTTCTTAGGAGCTTCTACTTCAAATGAACCTAAATGCAGAGAAGAAAACAAAACTTAAGCTAGTGTCAAGGAATACATAAACTGCTACACCCTCTTCAAGAGACACTGATACACATGTAGGATCTTAGGAGAAGCATCTCTGGAGGTTTAAGAGCTCAGACTCAAACTCATCTAAGAGCTGTGTCTGCTGCCACTATTAACAGAACAACTTTCTTAGCTGCAAATCACAATGAGGGATGTTAAAAAATGCTTTCAAGTGCAAACCAGCTTTTTGAGATGTACAACAGTGTGGTCTTATTGAAAACCTTACAAAGCTGCTCCTACCTTTCCATTTTTGAGGCGTCCGGAAGAGACAATCCTCGAGACGTGCACCTGGAAGGGCCTGCACTCCGTACTGCAGTCAAACTCTTCCACTCTGTCCATGACCTCCACAGAGTTTTCTTCTACAAATGAAGTGCTTCCCCGCTTTTTAATGAGGCCACCAGGCTGTTCCAAACCCTGTCTTTTCACTGTGGAACACTTCAAAAAAGTCACTACAGAAAAGTCCACGTCGGCAACTGCGGAACAGCCCATGTCTGCAGCATCCAGAAGGTTCCCAGGAATGTCATGAGAAGGTGGAAGGTCCCTGCCCGTGACCTGACTCTTCTCCAGAGTACTGACAGTGTCTTGGATCTCTCCAGTCAGAGCTGCCTGGGGAAGGTGGATCAGAGCCTCAGGTGCTGCAGAGAAGTCACCACTGGCAGCTGAGGAATGGTCCAAGTCCACAGAACCCAGCTTATGCACAGGAAGATCAGGAGAAGGTGGCACATCCCTGTCCACAACCTGTGATATCTCTGGAGTACTGCCCAAGTCCTGAATCCCCAGCTCACCTCCCGACAAGCCCTGCAAAGGCAGCTCAGGGTTTCTCAAGTCCTGATTATCCAGTTCTGTCCTTGAAATTTCCCAAGCCGCAGCTGGAGATGGATCCATGTCTTTAGCAATCACTGGGGCACAAGCCATGTCCTCAGTATCAAGTTTAGTCAGTGATGTCTGTGGAAGATGGGCCCGAGCCTCAGTCACTGCAGGAAAGGCACCATCAGCAGCTGGAGAGCAGCCCAGGCCTGCAGCATCCAGATTACTGACAGGAAGATCAGGAGAAGGTGCCAGGTCCCTGCCCACGACCCTCTCCACGGTACTGCCAGTGTCTTGAAACTCCAGCTCACTTGCAGACAAGTTTTGCAAAGGCAGCTCAGGATTTCTCAAGTCCTGATTATCCAGTTCTGTCTCTGAAAGCTCCCGAGCAACTGCTAGAGAGGGATCCATGTCTTTAGCAACAACTGGGGCACAAGCCACATCCCCAGAATCAAATTTAGTTGGTGACACCTGTGGAACGTGAGTCTGCAATTCAGTTTCTGCAGAAAAGTCCCTGCTGTCAGCTGGAGAACAGCCCAGGTCCACAGTATCCAGACTATTCACAGGAAGATCATGAGAGAGTGGCAGGTCCCTGGCCATGACCTGGGTCTTCTCTGGAGTAGTGCCCAAGACCTCAATTGGTTCAGCCAAAGTTGTCTGTGGAAGTTCAGCCAGATCCTCAGAAGGGTCTTTGCTGTTCAGCTCAGTGAAAGAGCCATCTGCAAGCTCTGCCAGCTGGGACATGGATGGTTCTGGCCCAAAGGGAGAAGGTGAGGTTTCATTAAACCTGTCATTGCCACTGTCCAGGCCAGAGGAACCAACGCCTTTCAGCCCGTCTGCAGTTTTGCAGTGCTGCGCAGGCTCCTTCCCCGCCAAACTCTCAAAGCTCAGGTTCTCCCACGTGCCTGAATCCGGGGACTGCAGACAAGCTCCCACCGTGCAGAAAGCCTTTGCATTCTCATTCTCGATAACCAAGTCCTCTTTGGGGGAGGCAACATCCTGCCTGCGGCCCCGGAAACTGCGCTGAGGCCTCTTCTCATCGGGGGAGAACGCCCTCGAGGAGCCTCGCAGCCGCCGAGCCGCCTCGGCCACGCTGGTTAAGAACCTCACTACGCCCCCAAAGTGAGTGGCTTTGGCAGCACCGTTTGATTTTTTTCGCTGGCTGAGATTTTCCTCACATCTCGTATCAAAGTCAAAGTAAGAAGCGGAATGATCAGTTGTATTTTCTAAGTTCTGGCAATTGGTTTCAGCCCTTTGATCTGGGAGCTTTGAATTATCTTTGCTAGCTAATGAAATTCCTTTCAGATAGCTCCAGACATCAGAGCTCCTTCCTCTCCTGCTGTCCTGTGGGAGCACAGCACACCTCTTTTGATTGTCCCCTTCTGTAATTGCAGGACTCTTAATGTGTTCAAAATTCAAAGACTCGCTCTTCCTGGCCGGTATTCTGTGGCAGTTACCATCATTATCCTCACTGTGTAATCTGCCACTGATATCCCTGAGACATTTACTTTCAGTGGCATCAAGTTCAGGAATGCTGATGTTCAGCTCTATATCCTCAAAAGAAGAGTCCAAATCCTCTATGTACCCCGCGTAGGAGTGGCGGGAGGGCCTCCGGCCATCGCCCAGCTTCCTAACCCTGTAGACAGCTCTCTGCCCGCTGCCATGAAGGTCCTCCTCAGGGTCACACACGTCCTGCACTCTGGAACCTCTCAAATCCACGTTCTTGGGTGTCCTGGAGGATCTTCCCTTTTTTGATGAGCGTACCCTGTCCATGAAGGATGGCTTTTTTAATTCTGAGACCTCAGAGGTAACTCCCAGCAAAATCATGGACTGGGGCCTGTCTTTATTTGTAGAGAGTCCTTTCCTTCGTCTGACAAAATTCCAGATCCGGCTGCCCTTGGTTGTCTTTTTATACCTGTGTGTTTCCTCCTGCTCGCTGGAGACTGCGTCGCCAGAGGCGCAGTGCTCAGCACCACAGGCCTCCAAGGCATCAGTGCTCCCTCCCTCCATGTTTCCTTGGAAAATCCTGTTGGCACATCCATTGGGAATGCTCATGGAAGCAGTACGCTGGAGGCCCTCTAGCACTTCCATCGCCCTGGCTCACAGGCTGGTTCCAGGAGTCACGGATGCATGGTCCTCAGATTGCTTTCTCCACAAGACTTTAAGGGAAAAGAACAAAGGAATGCAATTAGAGCAGAAAACTTTTAGAAGACACATTTCTTACAGCATCACAAGTCAAACCTTATCCCAGTGGCGGTGGTGGTTTTCCCCATTGGTTCCAGGGATGCTGAAATTTTGCTTCCAAGCTATATAAATTTTAAAGCTACTTAAATCTGCTTTAAATGACTGAACGTTTAATGACCACAAATAAACTTCCTGCACTACTAAAGCTACCACAAAGCATGCTCAGAATCCCATGAATTACATCTTCGTTTAGCATGTTGCAGAGACTTGAAATTCATCAGAGTTCATGGCAGAGAGGAGAGACGAAATTCCAATGAGTGCCCCTGCACATGTCACTGTCATCTCCTCCATCCCCATCTGCCAGGAACTGGCACCATGCTCAGTCTCTCCAGGCAGCCATTCAAAGAAAAGTCAGGATGAGCCTTTTCCTGGAAGCAATACAACTCTAAAATACTACAACATCAGAAAACTCATGGACTATCCAAGCCAGGTTTTTCATACAGTAGTGATGGCACCAGCACAGGAATCCCTCCTGGCACTGGTCTGTTCAATGAAAGCTGCTTGGCCACCACTCAACACTACAAAAAACACGTTCCCCTCAAGTGAGTTCCAGTGGACAGGATTAAAAATACAGTTCCCTCATCCGGAGCAGCAATGGAAACCACTCTGAAGCAGCTGTGGGAATACAGCTGAACTGCTCAGCTCCTAAAGCTTCCCTTTCACTGGAATACATCTGCCCTGTCTCAGTATTACAGCTTCCTGGGGATGGATCTGCTGGTCCTGGGTTTGCTGTCTAGAAAGCTGAACTACAAGCCAGGCACTCAACAGGGTTAAATTCCCTCAATTTCCAATCCTACTCTCAGGAGGAAGAAGAGAGAAATAGTGAGGCCCCAAGACATGGATTTGACCATAGAGAAACTCTCCACTTTCTCTCAAGCAGCAGGAGAGCCACACTAGCGATGTGAATAGGCCCCGTATCTACTAAAAACATTTAAATTTGCTATTTCTTTTAAAACTAAGGTTATTCATGCAGCAGCTACTGCCCTGGGCATCTCATGACCCTTGCATTCAGTCAGTTAAGTCTGTTTCTACCTTGCCACCATGTCTGCCTCAACAAGGGATAACCCGTGAGACCCCCCCCAGATGGCAGAGGCACCACAGAAGCAGAGCACAGCCAGCAGAAACAACCAGCATCCCCCTTTTTCACGGACAGCAGTCATCTGGCTTTCCAAGAGCCCTGCCACAGGGGTTGTGCCAAGCATTTTTGGCACCAGCTGTGCTTAGGGAAGCAGAAATGAGTGTTTGGGCTGCCAGATGTCCACTCACTGTGCTGCCCCACCAAGGCAAGGGGGAAATAAGAGGGAAGATCTGATGGGCTGCTATAAAAATACAGCTATCCCTTTCCAATCCCTGTCCATTTGATTTACTGCCAACTGATCTGGATAATGAGAAACAAAGATAAAACTAACACAATGTCTTACCCCCACCCACCATGGCTCAACTTCCCCATCTTCTGAGGGATCTACCTCACGCCAAGGGGTGCAGAAGGATTGGGAACTGGGAGAGGTATGGCTGGGACATGATGGTTGTCCTTCCTTCCCACACTCATCCCAGGCTCCCGTGGGGCCTTCACAGGCCCCGGTTCCTGTCAGGAGAACCTGCTCCAGTCTGGGGCCTCCACTGGTTACAATTTTTGCCAGGAATCAGCTCCACAGGGTGCGATTCCTACCAGGAAAATCTCCCTGCTCCTGTGTGGAGCCTCCAGAGGTCCCATTCCTGCGCTGTGGAGCCATCACAGGTCCCACTCCTGTCAGGAGAACCTGCTGGGGCCTGCACAGGCCACAGCCCCTGCCAGGGATCACCCCCTGCTCAGCACCTCATCC